GTGGTCATGGAGTACAGGCTTTGCATCCCCTAATACAGCCCTGATCTTCCTCATCCTTCCCTTGGTCCACACAGGCTTCCCCCAGCACTGCGGGGATGGGGGCCTAGCGGGTGCCAAGTCCAGGAATGTTTCTGAGGCTGTGAAATGTCCCCTCAGCAGGGGGTCCTGGGGAGCGCAGGCAGAAGCCCTGACAAGCCATCCTTTTGGCGGCTGAGCCTGCCCCCAGCCCTGTCCCAGTCTCCCCTCCCACCCAGGTCCTGCCCTTCCCAAAAAGGATGAAGCTCCAGCTCCAATGCTGGGGCAGGCCTGGACCCCAGAGCCAGAGGGGCAGGGCTCCCAAGGCCACTCGGCCTGAAGAAGCACATCCCTTCCCCAGCTTATCAGTGCCCTGCAGAGTCCGGCCCACTCCTCGCCACCTCCTCGGGCTCCCAAGGCCATGGGTGGGTTGAGGGTTTGGCAGCTGCCTTCTGGCCCAGCAGACGCTGAGAAGCCCCAGGGGCAGAATCCAGCTCTTCTCTCCAAGGCCATCCCTACAGCTGGCACCTCCCCTGTAGCTGGGAGAGGAGCCTAAACCACAGGACATAGTCCTGAGACCCTTAAGCCCTAGCATAGCCCCGGGGCATCAGCAGGGGGAAGTGGAAGAGAAGTCTGTGGAGCTGCCAGCGGAGAGAAGGGGTCAGGTGTGGGTCCTAGGGGCTTCTGAGACCTGTGCCAAGGGGCTGCTGGCACTGGGCAGCAGCCCACAGGGCCCATGAGGAGTGAGCCCAGAGCAAGTGGCTCAGGTCTTGAGCATGGCTGGGTGTGTCAGGCTGCAGCTGCTGGTCCCAGTGAGTGCAGCCCAGGGCAGGTGTCAGGACATGGGTCCTAAGGGAGAGTCTTCTAGGAAGAGCCTGGTGGCGGCTGGCCGTGGTCTAGTGCACGCTGCCTGACTATACCCTAGCAAAGTTCTCCTTGGTCAGCACTGACCATCCACCTCCACCTGGCCCCTTCTTCCAGAGAGGGGGCAGGACAGGCCTCTCAGAGTCAGCAGCAGGATTTGGTCATCAGCAATCAGGAGCCCTTAAGGAGGCAGCCTGCTTCCCATGTAGCTGACGGTTGCCCTGGTGCCTGCCTTTCCTGATTCAGCTCTTGCTTCAGTTCCTTGAAGCACCCCAGCGTCCTTCCAATAAATGCCTGCCCTTTGTGGCTTACAATGAAGCATTCAAGCTGGTTCCATACTATCATGAGGCACCTAGTTTAAAATGCCGTTTCCATCCATCTGGCACTTTTCTCTCCTGCCCCCAGATTACGCATGTGGAAAATACAACATGGTGTCCAGGTTGTACTTGCATACCTATGGCAGCTCCAGTACCTGGTGATGGACTGGGAGGAGTGATAGCCCGTAGGACAGCCCAGGAACCCTCCAGCAGGTCTGCTCCATATCCCCAGGGTGGGAATCAGCACTAGCTTACCCTAAAAGCTAAGCAAGTGCTTAGTTCACCAGCAGGGAAGAACCTGCACCCGCCCCTTACTGCTTTTTGTCTGCTTATTCTGTTACCAACTTCTTGTATTCTGCCCATTTTTCCATTATATTTTGAAGCCATTAGGCTTATATTTAAAATTGTTAAAATCTTCCCAATGAACCTTTTCTACATGAAGTATCCTTTTTTATTTCTAGTAATTCTTGTCTTAAAGCCTATTTTATCTATTTTGTGCAGAGTATCTTTTGCCCATCTTTTCTTTCAACTTTTCTGAATTTTTGTTTCAGATGTGTCTCTTATAAAGAGCTATTATCAGCTATCTATATTGCATAAAACAATAGCTAGAAAGTGTTCAAATGTTTGCAAGAAATATACTTCTAAGTAACCTACAGTTCAAAGAATTAGAATTAGAAAATATCTGAGTTGAACAAAAGTACTACATATAATAACTTGTGGGATGAAGCTAAAGTCCTACTTAGTTATAAATTATAAATTTAAAAGGGAGGGGAAAGGGGGGACAAAAATTAATTAGCAAAACATCTCAAGGAGTTAAGAGCAGCAAATTAAACACAAAGTAAAATAATAAAACTGAGAGCCAAAATTAACAAACCATAAAACAAAATCAGGATAGCCAAAAGTTAATTTCAAAAAGACTAATAAAATTGGTAATTCTGAGATTGATCAGTGAGAGTACAAAGACACAAGTGATCAGTTCTATGAATGAAAACAGCAGTATCACTGCAGATCCTGCAGGCATTAGAGGATAAGGACAGATTACAGACTTTGTATAATAAAAATTTAGATAACATGGACAAAGTCCTAGAAAAATAACTTATCCAAACTCACTGAAGAAATAGAACATTCAGATAGTCCTATTACTATTAAAGATACTGAACCAATTTAAAACCTCTGTACAAAAATTCCAGGCCCAGAAAGCTTCACTAGTAAATTCTATCAAACATTTAGGAAATAATTCTCTTGGATGAACTGTACCAGAAAACAGAAAAAGATAATATACATCCCAACTCATTTTATGAAGCCAGAATAACCTTGATACCAAGGCCTCATATGGAGAGTACATAAAAAAACTGTAAGTCAATCTCATGAACAAAAATCCTAAACATTAGGAAAGGGAACCAGTAATACATAAAAGGACAATATATCATGACTTAAATTGTGCTTACTCTATGAATGCCATTTTAAAAGATTAATAGAGAACCACTATATACTCAGTAGATGCAGACCAAGTATTTGATAAAATTGAACATATATTCATGTTAAGTACACTTAGTAAACTAGGAATAAAAAAATCTTTCTTAATCTAGTACAGGTTGAGTATCCTATATCCAAAATGCTTGGTACCAGAAGTGTTTCAGATTTGGGATTTTTTTCCTATTTTTGAATACTTGGATTATACTTACCAGTTCAACATCTGTAATCTAAAATTTGAAATCTGAAATGCTCCTTTGAGCATCACATTGGTTCTCAAAAAGTGTCAGATTCTCAAGCATTTCAGATTAGGGACACTCAACCTGCAGAAGGCATCTATTTAAAAAACCCTACAGTATACACAGTGAAATGCTGAAAGTTTTCCTTTTGGGATCCAGGACTATGACAAAGATGTCTGCTATCATCATTTCTAATCAACATTGTACTGATGGGGTCTAGCCAGTGTCATAAGGTAAGAAGGAGAATTAAAAGTATAAAGATTAAAAAGAAACAAAATTGTCATTATTTGCATATAGTGCAATTGTATATGTAGAAAATTCAAAAGGATGTAAAGATACACTAGAATAATGACGTTTAGCAAGGTTTCAAGACACAAAATCAATATACAAAAATATACAGCACTTCTATACACCAGTTCTAAACAGAACATGAAAAGTTTTTTAAGATATCATTTACATTAGTATCAACTTCCTAGGAATAGATTTGACAAAAGACACATACGATTGCAGAGAAAACTGTAAAACTTTATTGAATAGAGAATTTAACAAGTCAAATTTTCAATGTAATAGCATATATAGCTTCAGTTCGTCTTCTTTTCAACTCAGGACTGTCCATTGTCTAAAATATAAACAGACCAGAGTGAAAGCATTGCCAAGAATGTTTTCATTAATCAAGAACGAAAAGTTGAGGATCGAAGACGATGAGTAAGTAAAACATTAACGTAATAGTTGGGACCATTACTTAGCAGAACTTCACTGAGATGATACAAAAAGCACACAAAGGACACTAGTTTTGGTTTTGTAAGATCAAACTGAAACCAGAACCCTAACCGCTATGTAGACTTTAATGCTAATGTACATTTTCAGGCATATGAACACTAATTTTTAAGATACATCACTCTGTCTAGGGTGTATGAGAAAACAAAGACTTCTCAAACCCAGAACAGATTAAATTCTATAAGCCCATTTAAGGATAATTTTAAATAGAGAGGAAAAATGACCAGTGATTTCAGTTTAAAAAAAAAAATAAACTTGAAGAAGCAACACAAATAAGCAAGCAAATACAGTCATTCAAATGTACTGACTTGGAATACTGTACTAATTATATATTAGCTAAAATAATTATGTCACACTTGGAATTGCTTAACTAAAAAGGTCAAAGAACAGCATTTCATTTGGTTTGTCTCTTTAATGCAAAAACAATTCACTGATCTAGTTCAACCTTTATGTGGTCTATTTATATAGTAGGGTGGCCATTCAATCCATTGGCACCTATTGTCCTGGCATAAGTATTCACAGCACTCTCTTTCACTCTCAGGAGTGTCATGGTTTAGGTGATAAACATACAGATCCATCTCATTTTTTCGTGTGTAAAAGTGATTTTGATAGACCGGGCACGGTGGCTCACGCCTGTAATCCTAGCACTCTGGGAGGCCGAGGCGGGCGGATTGTTTGAGCTCAGGAGTTCGAGACCAGCCTGAGCAAGAGCGAGACCCCGTCTCTACTAAAAAATAGAAAGAAATGATCTGGACAACTAAAAATATATATAGACAGAAAAAATTAGCCGGGCATGGTTGCACATGCCTGTAGTCCCAGCTACTTGGGAGGCTGAGGCAGAAGGATTGCTTGAGCCCAGGAGTTTGAGGTTGCTGTGAGCTAGGCTGACGCCACAGCACTCACTCTAGCCCGGGCAACAAAGCGAGACTGTCTCAAAAAAAAAAAAAAAAGTGATTTTGATAAACAATTCTGGCAAATTAAAGAAACAATACTATTGTATTGTTCAGACATCCAATTACTACTGGTATAGGTTAAATAGTTTATATACTTTAAAAAGCATTTGGTCACTTGCCTTGAGTTTCAAAAGACTTCTCCAAAATTATAAAACTTTCATGTTTTGTAATTTTACAACATGACTTTGACCTAATTATTTTTCCCCGACACTGTCTTTGAATCAAGTATTTGGTGTCTAAACTACCTTTCAAACAATATTTGTATGTGAGACTTGTTACTAAAGTACAATATACTATAGAAAAGAGTTAACCCCATGACTCCCATTCTGAATGAATAACATACCTGCTTCCGGAACTTTAGCTTACTCCGGATTAGGAGGAGGCGGCTTCGCTTTCACATCAGGACCATCTCCACGCTCACCTCCAGTCTTTTCCAGAACCATTTCCGGGGCATCACCTTCCAATTTGAGTTCTACTATAAATAAAAAGTCATTAATATAAGCAGTAAACCATAAATCAGTATTATTAAATAAAGCTCTGTAGGGCAGTATCCTAACAAGTGTAATTAAGAATAAGAATGCAATGAGCATTGGAATTTTCTGCTAGAAAATGGGCAAGTTGAGGTCCTCAAATATTACCTCCTCTATGAAGCTTTTCTTTTCCTAAGGCAGTTTAAGACAACTTAGTTGTCATGTTCATAACCTACATATATTTCTGTTATTGAAATTATCTCATTAGATCAGTAGTTTACAAGAATTTCCCCAACCAGATTGTGAGCTCAAGACAGAAATCACTCTCTCATTTGTATTTATATCCCCAGTACCTAGTACACTACCTGGTACCTAGTACGTCCCAATAAATGAGTGGAAAAAAGTCTTTAACAATAGTAACATGAGACAAACCCAAATTAGGGAACATTTTATAAAACTGGTTTGGACTCTGGCAGTCAATGTCATGAAAGACAAAGAAAGACTGAGGAACCCTTCCAGGTTAAAGGAGACCAGAGATAAATGACAACTAAATGCCATGGGTGATCTTGGAATGGATCCTGGATCAGGAAAAACAAATGCTATAAAGGATATTACTAGACCGACTGACAAAACTGCCAATAGACTTTATATAAGATAATGTTTTCTCAATGATAAATTACCTGAACATGATAATTAAAAAAATAAAGGAATATATGACAAATAGATTATGGTTCAGGAAGACAAAAGTATTGAAGACTTTTAACAGTAATTAAGAAATGATTTCAATTTTTATTTATATTATGAAATTTTCAAAAAATTGCAATGTAAAAGCTAACCATAATACATCTAGGTTTGCTCCAACTTTTGATGCAATGACTTAGCCCAGAAAACAATATCCCAAGACGACTATGTTCAACTAGTGAAATATTTTACAATTTTGCATAAATTTAATGTAGTTTCCACTGGTTTGCTAATGTAGAAATCTTGGCAAGGACTGTATTTTCCAAGCATGCCAAATAACTCTTAAGATACAGTATAGATAAAATGTTAAAGAGAAAACTTATCATAGAGAGGGACTACAGTCAGCTGCAAACTACACCAAACAGGTTTCCAGCCAATTTTCAGGGAATGGTTTATTCATTCCTGTTACTAGCATATAATCATACATGAAATACAAAATGTTTCTCCATACTCTCTTCGTTGTCAACCACGGGTACTCCTCCTTCTCCCTCTACTCCAGGTTCAACTTCCTGACTCTCAGTTGGTGGTTCCTCTTGATTTTCACTGGGCTTTTGGGCCTTGGGGAGGGTAGATGCAAATAGTAAAGAGTACTGTTATTAATACTATGGCAAGAGAAGTCACAAATACACATACTATGTGGTGATAACTAATCACAAGTAAGTCTGAAAAAGTTTTTCCTATCCTCTTTTCTGTAGGTACTCTGAAGATTAAAAATTACTCTTCCTATACAGAAAACACTCTAAGAAAGGAGTTACCTGGAAGGACTGATAATTCTGGAAACCATTTTAATCTTCTTTGGGTTGTGTTATTTATTAATAAGCATGACAGGGAAGTCATAAGGACTACTGCTAGGCTCATAACAACATATATATGCAGACAACACCAGAACATAAGGCTCTTTGCTCAGTATTTTATTCATGGGATTCAGTTTTCAACCATTTTCAGCAGGGAAGTCCTTTATACAACAAATCTGTACTGGTTCAACAACTTTTTTGAATTTTTCCAGAAAAATAAATTTCTGCAAATGAAAATAAGATGTTGAAGTACTCACAGCCACAGTTTCAGCCACACTGGAAGATTCCTCACCATCTCCTCTTCCTCTGGATTTTGATCGCACACGTCTGATCATTTTCCAGGCAGCAATTAGAAAATCGTGACCTGAAAACTGCAACAACCAAAAATAATTATGCTTGACTATTTCCACAGCCACCCGCTGACTGTAACTTTTTTTTTTTTTTAACTTTTGGTGATATTTCCAAAATAAGTCCTGAGTTAAATAATAACTATTCCTGTTTTCCAATAGCATAAAATAAGGCTATTTGCAAATCCCTGTGTTTCTCTCACAACCAACTTCGCAGAAAAATGACCTCTAAGTACTAAATAAAAAACGGGGGGGGGGGCAGGCCGGGCACGGCGGCTTACGCCTGTAATCCTAGCTCTGGGGGGGGGGGAGGATCGTTTGAGCTCAGGAGTTCGAGACCAGCCTGAGCAAGAGCGAGACCCTGTCTCCACTAAAAATAGAAGGCAATTAGCTGGACATCTAAAAATACACAGAAAAAATTAGCCGGGCATGGTGGCGCATGCCTGTAGTCCCAGCTACTCGGGAGGCTGAGGTAGGAAGATCACTTGAGCCCAGGACTTTGAGGCTGCTGTGAGCTAGGCTGACGACACCGCACTCTAGCCCGGGCAACAGAGTGAGACTCTTGTCTCAAAAAAATAAACAGTAAAAAAAATAAGAATAAAAAAAAACTGGGGGCCGGCCGGGCACGGTGGCTCACGCCTGTAATCCTAGCACTATGAGAGGCTGAGGTGGGAGGATCGCTTGAGCTCAGGAGATCGAGACCAGCCTGAGCAAGAGTGAAACCCACTCTCTACTAAAAATAGAAAAATTAGCCGGGCATCTCGGCGCGCGCCTGCAGTCCCAGCTACTCGGGAGGCTGAAGCAAGAGGATCGCTTGAGCCCAGGAATTGGAGGTTGCTGTGAGCTACGATGACGACACTGCATTCGACCCGGGGCAACAGAGCGAGGCTCTGTCTCAAAAAAAAAATGGGGGGCTTTCCTAAAGAGATTTAATTTCACAAACAAAATTATGAAGAGATTTCGTAATATACAGCCAAGGCCAGCTCTGCCTCCCCTCCCCAGGTCCCCACTGAGGACTCTGAAATCTGTCCTGTCAGCAGTTTCAGGTGCCCCCAGGACTCAAAGATACCTCAAAAAGTATCCCCAAGTTTTTGTCCCACCTTCACCTGATCCCTCCCCTCCACTGCCCCTCTCCTCCCTTGTCCCAGCCCTATCACGAGAACAAGGCCCATGGCGGCGTCGCCGCCTGTGAGGAGGACGACGACGACCCGGAGCCCCCCCCTCAGGCCCCAGACTGCGCCGACAATCCGCCCGACAATCCGACCGAAGCCCGTTGGCTCCTCCGCACACCCACTCTCACACTTAAACTCCCAGAGGGACTGATCTGTGGGCCTACCAGCTGAGTCTCAGTCAGCGAGCAAGAATTGAGACCGGAGAGACGTTACCCGAACCTGCTCAACTCCGCGGCGTTCACCACGAGGTGCGCATAGGCTTATGGGAAGGCGTACAGTGGGCACGCACACTGACACAGGCGCTTGCGCACTCGCTGGGGCCCCCGCCCCTCCCCCACCAGGAACCCACTGAAGCCCCCAGATCTGTTCCTCTGTTGGCGGTTTCATATGATTCCGGGACTCAAATACCTCAATAGTGTACCCCCTCGAAACCCACGCCAACTTCAGCTGGCCCTCTCCCGTCTTTGGCCTACCTTCCTCCCCTGTCCCGTCTTCACCACAGTAACGAAGCCTACGGCGGCGTCGCCGACTGTGAGGAGGACAACCTCGAGACCCTTCCTCCCCCAATTCACCAATCGTGCTGCCAGACCTGCCCAAAGCCCACATGCTCACTCACTCACACCGGTTCTCACTTACACTTGCTACGAGACAGTAAAGAGCCTGGTAAAGAATCAGGAAGGGAACAGAAACAGCAGTTACCTACCGTTACAGCCGAGGCACCACCTCTGTGGAGTCAGCTCCACCAGCCAATCCCGAAGCCCCAAAATGCGCGGGCTCCCGTGCGCCTGCGCAATGTGATGTGTCACGTGGGCTGTCTTTCCATTCCTCCCGCATCGCATAGAGGCTCCGCCCCATGTGGGTGAGGGCGTGGCCTTCCCAGTGCTGGAAAAGGTTTGTACCTTGCTTTTCCCCCCTCCTCCAAAATTGTATGTCTTTGTGTGTTTAGGAATGTTCCCAGACCTGCATTTCACCTACTAATTTACCTTCTAAATTTTCTTCTCAATGCTGCTACTTCAGTGGCCCTCGAGAAAGTCTTTAGTCTCCCCAGAGATGTATGAAAATGTTAGGTTCTGAGAGAGTGCAAAGCTATTTTAAGCATGGTAGGAATCCAGAAAAATGTAAAAAGGATGGGTAAAGCCAAATACATAAATGAGCCTTAAAATTGCACAAATCCTGTGACCCTGCATTTCTACTTCTAGGACTTTAATGTTAAGGAAACTGTCTTGAATGTTAACAAAGATTCTTTGTTTGGTCAATCTTTATGTCAGGTTCCTGAATCTTCTGTGAGGCCCATCTGTGCACTACCTTGTAAAAGCTAGTTGTAAGAACTCTGCTAAGTCAGTTTAGCAAGAAGCCCGCATCCGTAATAGCTGATCATCCTTCATATCTGATCCCACTCGATATCTGATCAGGTCCCTCACCCAGCACCACCCTGCAGGCAATGTCTGATCCCTCTGGTCTGTCTTCAGCAAGAATCCTGTTAGGTCAGTTTAGCCAGAATCCCCCTGACCCCTGATGTTTCCTCTGAGTGATTTTCCATCCACTGACCCCCACCCTGCTCCCACTGGCCCATGCTGTATTCAGAGTTGAGCCCAATACCTCTCCCCCACTGGTCCCTATACTTATCTCCATGGTCCTGAATAAAGTCTGCCTTAGTGTACTTTAACAAGTACCATTGAATAGTTTTTTTTCCTTTAACAATGTGAACAAATATTTAGATACATGGGACTTCCAAAGTAGCTTAATTTATAACAGCATGGTCATGGACTTGTTCTATAAGTAAATTATGGCACACTTGAAAATGAAATATAGCTGGCCATCAAAGACCAATGCTAAATACTGTTTCCTGTCACGGTGGTGCTGCTCACTTTAAGTTATTAACTTGAAACAGTTATGCAGCATTGTGTGTGTGCGACATGATCCCAAAAGAAGAGGGAGGCTTTGGAAAAGATCACCAAGGCTACCAGACCACCAACCTTCCTCTCGGAGAGTAAGTGTGCTTTGTTCTCACAGCCATCGTGTTCTAGGGCTCCAAAGACAAATAGTTCTCCAAGGGCAACCCAGCAGATAAAATGTAGTCCTTGGCGTTGTAGGTCTGCTGCACCTAGTGCACCTCAAAGAGCTTCACCATCACCTAGGTGGTCTGGTGCTCTGTGATCAGAGAAGGTGTGGGATGGGGGAAGGCGGGGGGAGGTCAGAAGCCCACTGTTCCTGCTTTAGGCAAAGGTAGATGGTTGCCTATAGGACAGAATGGAGCTTTCCCTCCCCATCCCTGTCCTCCCATCTAACCCCCCCACCAGATACAAACCTGTCTGTCCTTGCATGTCTAGGATCATTCCCAGACTCAGCAGGTTACCTTTAGAGAAACACACATTCTTTGAGAGTTAGAAAGATCCCCTGTGGCAAAAGTAGAATTGCCAAATCTGTCTCTCACTGCCTCTTCCCCCTCCCCCCTTCTCCCTCCCCCTTTCTCCCGAAGATAAGAGTCAATCAATGTAGAGCCAAATGTAAACAATATATAATTCTTCCTTGATCTCACCAATCAGGGATAACCACTTTTAATATCTAAGCAGGAGTTGCTCCTACAACAGATCTTTATGTGGATGAAATAAAGATTTATTGAGAGACTGAGTTCTCACAATCTGCAATCAGTATAAACTGTGGGCTCTAGTCCCAGCTTCTTGTTTCTCCTCAGGTAAAGCACTTTCATTAGCTCTTAGTAGTTTTCTGTTATCTCTTGGAAAGGCTATCTGTATCCCTGACTTTGGTGTTTGTCTGTTGGCAGATGCTATGTTCTCTGCATAGGATCAAGTTTCTCCAGGACACTGTGAAGGAGTTAGAAGGGAGGTAAGGTCTTTTCTGTATGAGAGCTTGGATTCTGAACTGAAGAAGAAACGCTGATTTGTCCAGCACCATAAGCCTTCCTGGGGAACCTCATCCTCAGGCAACATTAGTGCAGAGCAGGCACTCTGACTAAGGATGGGTAGCTACTCCCAAGCCCTTGTTTGGATCATTGTGATGGTTATAGATGTTACTTTCATTTTGTTTTATGACACAAGTAACATCTGCTCCTTACAAATAATCCAATCAGTAAGAATTGACCAGTTTCGCTGTCTTGTCATTATTCTTTAAATCCTAGTATGAGGCCGGGCGCGGTGGCTCATGCCTGTAATCCTAGCACTCTGGGAGGCCGAGGCGGGCGGATTGTTTGAGCTCAGGAGTTCGAAACCAGCCTGAGCAAGAGCGAGACCCCGTCTCTACTAAAAATAGAAAGAAATTAATTGGACAACCAAAAATATATAGAAAAAGTTAGCCGGGCATGGTGGCACATGCCTGTAGTCCCAGCTACTCGGGAGGCTGAGGCAGGAGGATCGCTTGAGCCCAGGAGTTTGAGGTTGCTGTGAGCTAGGATGACGCCACGGCACTGTAGCCCGGGCAACACAGTGAGACTCCGTCTCAAAAAAATAAATAAATAAATAAATAAATAAAATAAAATAAATCCTAGTATAAAGTTACCTAATTCTTGATAGAATTAACACCTGACAGTAAGAGTATTGTTTCTAGGACCACTGAGGAGAGCCCCAAGGCATCCCCTCTTGTCACTCCTCCTCCCCTCCTCCCTCACCATAGCAGGGGAAAAAGAGATCCTTTGTTTACCCATTTGCCATGGTCAGAGGTGATAATCAAGAATGGGGACAGATAACTGTGCCCCGTCTGGAGTGGAGCAGGTGTCAGTGTCCCACCCTGGGCCAAGACTGCATGTGAGCTCTATTCAGACTGTCCAGAATCCTGTTGGGGGAAATGTGGAAAACACTG